AGGGAAATTCTTAAATTTATTTTATGACTAGTACTTTGAGAAGTTTGATTTGATTTTGAAAATAGTCCACTTGAACATCTTCGACATGTTCTCAGATTTTAGACATTAAAGAAAAATATAGTTAAAATTTCTTCCTGGGACAAGAGGGGCGCTTTTCCAATCCAAAAATTCTCCTAAGTTCTTGTGACGAATGGAAATAATTCAAATATGAATAAGTATAAAGTAATTAGACTGATAGTACAGTAAGTTAAAATCAGTTCAGGTTTTTGTTAAGCAAGCGGATGCTCTGTAAATGTACTTTAATGAAATATTATATATTATATATATGCAATTATTATTTAAGAACATAGTATGTAACATTCTTGATTAGAATATAATTGATATTATATCAATGAACCTTTTTGACCTTTTTGTTCCAAGTTTAAATTCGTTCCAAAAGGGGTCCTATCTAAGTTTGAATGTTTTTTAATTACTCTATTAAAATTATCAAATATTTTCGAAAATATTCACTATAAATAAAGAGTTACTTAATTACATTTTTTAAAATATTGGTTTAGTTATTACAAATAGAAGAGAAAACTTTTTTTTCGTGTTTCCAGAAAAACAGTCAATGGTGATTGGGGTTCACTTTGGAAATAAACGATCCATTTATGTATTTATTTAGAAGAGTTCACTATATATTTAAGGGATAATTTATAACATTAAAATTTAAGACAAGTCTTTTAATAAATTAGATGATGGAATGGTAATGAACGGTCTGAAAATGGGATAATTAAGTGGATTCCGAAACGTTACAATAATAAAATAAAATTTTTGGGAGAGTAATAATAATAATAAAATAATTTTTTTTTTTGGAGAGTAACTGCTATTTAGTTTTTCAAAGACCCATATGACCTACAGCAGAGCTAATACGATATAATCTTTCTTTCCATATTTCTCTTAAGCCTTGATGAAGACCTAAAATAGGGTTAGATATTTAATAAATAATTTTAAATACATTTATAAATTATAAATGTATTTTTTTTTAATTTAAATGAAGAGCCTCTTAACAGATAGCTTAAAATGGGTATTAACCGTTTTAATACTGAATGAAGTCAATTTTAATTACGGTAATATATAATATATTTCAAATTGTGAAAGAAAAATAATTTCAAGAAACAATCGCGCAACATAGCCATCATGAGATACATATTTATCTATAATTATATATACTTCTTCACTGTATCCACAGACTTAAGATTTAAATCGAATTACACAGTTACAGAGAGAAAACAATTAAACGCAGGGACAAAAGCCAATGAAAAGAAGCATGTTGCTACTTGATAGATTGGTTCAAGCCGGTTCGAACCTGTTCAAGAAAGGAATGAAGTCAAGTGGTAGAGCGTATTTGAGATTTCTTATTTGTTTCAATAATTCAAGGAATATTCCACAACCGTTCTGAGGTAAGATAGGTAAGAACTAAATATTGTAGAGTCCAAACACAAAACATTTTTTTTTTTTTAATTTCCAACCCAACGTTATTGACAAAGTCTAAACACAACGGTTATCTTATTTGCAAAACTCTTTAGAAAACGCGAGTTTGTAATCACTGTCTGAGGTTTTAGTAATTTGTGTAGAAATACTGAGAGAAAACAACTTCGGCATCAATGTGAAACCACGTAATTGACCCAAGTGAGTCCTTCTTTGAGTCCAAAGAAAATTGGATTAAACTTTTTTGCTAAGATTTTTTTTATAATCAGGAATTACTATTTATCCGATAATTGATATACTATAGAGTTTAAAAGATCAACAACTAATAAAATGTTAAAAAGATTAAAAACAAATAACATTAATAATGTTATGAAAAATAAACAATGTTTCACATTGAGACTAACTATTTGTACATTTACTCTTGTCAGATTTTTGTATTTTTTTTATTATTTTATTTTAATTAGTTTATAGAATGCATTATTATTATTGTAAGTAATCATGAAAATTTAGTTTAATAAATTAGTTTACTAAAGATTCAGTAGTTAACTCGAGGTAACTATTGAATAAGTATTCAATAGTTAACTAGAGTTAACGGCGCAGTTTAAAACTCATTAAAAGTGGTTAAGTGCAATCATACAAAACCACAAAACATGGTTTAGCCCCCAACAGGACAAAATACATGTTTTTTTAAAAAAGTTAACTTTTTCAGTTCTACTTCAGCTGATTACTTTGTTTAGATACAAATAGTTTTCTAAATAAAGAATATTAAATTGAAATAAATGATTTTCAATCAGAAAAAAATAAAAATAAAACAACAATAATTAATTTAGATGAAAATAATTCAGAAAATCAATATTATTTTTTTCAATTTATTTAATAAAAAAAAAAACACATCAATAGTAAATTTTAAAGAAAATATTACAATAGTGTTAAACTGTAACAAATTAGATTAACAATATAAGATAATAATGTAGAAGTTATAATACAAATTTCAACGTTTTCAAAGTAATGAGTTATTGTGATTCATTAAAGCAGTAAATAATAAACGGATATTACAACATAACCGTGGGTATCTGATAATCAAAACAATCATTTTAAAATTTCTCGTTAGAATCTTGAATTGAGGATCCAACGATTGTTTACATCGGATGTGAGGGCGCCATTTAATTTAACATCACTCATAGGAGAATTGTTTGGATGAAATAGAAAACCTTTTATTTTTAATTAATTTTCTTTTTATTTATCCATGTACAAAGGAAATTATATTTTAACATTACGATTTAATTTTTTGGAAGACTAGTGAACTTCTCACCTTACTTTCTACTGCGTTTTTTCCTTATGATGCAATATTAGAGATAAAATTATATAAATTATATTTTCAACTTTGATAAATGATAGAATTAAATAAAAATAAGAATTATAATAATTATCAAAATATATAGGTATACTCAAAGAATTCGGCAATGATTATAACTCCGATGTTTGTATATATACAAATATCAGATTATTTAAGTTTTTTTATTACCAGTATAATTCAAAATTAAAAAGAAAGAATACAAAATACTTATATATTGAAACATAATAGAGTGGGAAAAAAGTCTAGATGCTTTATTATTTCATCGAAAATAATAAACCATAATGCGGCTTATGTTTATCTAAGATTCAAAAGTTAGCTTTTGAATCTTAGATAAACATAGATAGCTTTTGAATTATTTTATTTTACGTGAAATATAAATTTAGTACGTATTTGCAGACACTTTTTTGTAATGGCTAAGACATAGCAAATAACAGTCGATGTTGTTTTGATTTTCAAATATATCAATCAAATAAAACATTATTCTGTCAATCTCTTATGCCATGGCTTTATTCAGAACGTGATACGTTAAACACAATTCTGTAAAAAATCCGATTCCGCTAATAAGTAAAATTATATTATTATCTTGGCAACGTTTCGGACAACACTAGCGATATTTTCAAGTCCTGACTGAGTCCTCCAACTAAATATCCATATTCAATATTGTTTTCTTTAATCTGAGAAAAATTTAACTGTCCTAATATTATAGGGTTTCCCCTTTGTCAACTAAGGATATTTAGATGGATGACTCAATAAAGATTTGAAAATGGCCATATTCTTGGGCCTAAACGGTGTCAAGATAATATAAAAGAAATATTGGTCGAATATGGTCTTAATTTAAAAAAATGAAAACCTCAAGACACCAAAATTGGGAATAATAAACAAAATCTTAAAAGTTCTAAAGAACCTTTTTGTATTGAATTTGTGTGTTGTAGCAAAAAGTTTTTCTTTTATTTATTTGAGTTCTTAAGGAAAGATAAGTTAAAACAGAAATAAAAAGTAATTAGACTTAGATTAGAGTTGTAATTTATCTGAAACGAATTACCTGTTTCAAATGTGTCGTCTGTTTTGAGTAGTTAAGAATAAGTCATTTTTTTAGTTTTGACATTTTGGCGAAATCAACAGAACGTTTAAATAAGTGTTGTTTTTTTTAAACATAAAAGTTGCGAAAGAAAAATTCTTGTTCCGAAATAACAAGAAAAATCGAGTATATAGATTTCACTCATATGAAAAGTGATTAAGATTAAAAGCTTAAATTCCATTTCAAGCAGTGGATATAGTATATTTATTACGCGAAAAAACAATAAAATTTGTAAGTAATTTTTGGAAAGAATGGCTGTAAGTTAGTATACGCGAAATTACAGAACTGTCCCTTTCTATGAGAATAACTCATATAAGTTTTCCATTTCTGTATAGTTTTGCTATTCTGATTTTGATGGTGAATTTTGAATAAATTTATCTACATTTGATGATAGGACCCGACGATTAGAACTTAGAACAGTTAATATTAATAGTTTGAAGTGTTTACCTGAACCTTTGAAGAACAGAAATTAGAAATACTTTGTACAGTTTGCGACACAGACGAATTTTTATCAAATTATTAAAATCCGTCTAAAACTTCGTAAATGGTTTCTTCTTATCGTAACCTACAACTTTTTATTATACAATTCTCAAAAATGGGATATTTTCTCATAGCATTAATTAATTAAATGAAGAACTTTCCACTTCAGTCGTAAGATGATTTGGTCACAAAATCGAGAAAAAAGGAGGAGAAACAAAAATATTGGGCCGTTTGGCCCATGTAACCTTGTTATTTTGATATGTAGAGGGTGGATATCATACCAAACGGTCAAATGTTTTTGTAGGACATATTTTTTCTCGATTTCGTGATCAAATAATCTTGCGATTCAAATGAAAACCAAATGGGTATTCATGAGTTTTTAATGCCTAATTAAATAGACAAAGTTTATCGATCTGCAAATTGAATACGCACAATTTCAGAGGATTTTCGTAGATAAAAAGGTTGCAGATTACGATAAGATGAAACGATTCACGAATGATGAGTGTAGATAATTTGATAAAAAAAAGGGCCTGTACCACGGTCTGCAAATTCCTCAGGAGCCTGCTGAAGACGTGCCTTACTAAAGAACTTAAAAGACACTTATAGCTAACTGACCTGGGAGTACGGGTGATCGCCGTGCAGCTCCCCCAGAGAAGGCCTCTTGGCGGACCCTCTGTTCTCGCGGTAGTAGTCCAATCGCGGGAGGGCCTCGAGGGTGAGGGTGCAGAAGGAGTTGCGCTCCCTCCCGGTCCGCGGGGCCTGGCCCCACGAGGTCTCGAGGCAGGGGTTCTCATAGCCCGACCCCGGGCCCCCGGGCACGCCGGCCTTCCTCAGCTCCCACTGTCGGCTCATACTCGAATGCCGGGTCGTGGCCAGCCCCCACCAAGCTCATCCCCTCCGCTCTGGCGGGGTGACCTCTCTTATCAGCGAGGGGTGGACACAAACGCATCCACTTAATGAAGAGGCTTCCTTTAACTAATCCCAATTACTATTAGGCATAGCAATTAGAATATTTTAAGAAGTTAATTTAAAGCCTTAGAAGCAAAGGCACATAAGTGACAAAAATTATTTTTTTAAGTTATTCAGTATTTCTTTATTTTTTTATTTTATTTTTTACTATTATTTGAAAATTAATACATTCTGCCGCATTGGAGGGCATTAATATTAGGGCTACATTAAACATTCACACAATATATACATACAAATGATAACTAAAATAGAGATAAAAGAAAAAGAGTTGTGGAAAGTAAAATAAGAAAATTAACATACATGGGTAAAAAAAAAAATAAAAAAAAAATAGAGAGAAAATAAATGAAATTGAAATATATAAAACACGTTCGCACCTATATACAATATTTACATTCGCCCAGGGGATTCCGAGTCATGCTTTGTCTCCCAAATGATGAAGCCAAGGCAGGACCCCAGGAGATCCAAGTGCTTCTCTCCCAGCCGCGTCACTGGTATTGCAAGCCAGTGGAGACTGATGGAGGGCACTAGAGCAACAGACGCTCAGGACTTGAGTGGAGAATCGAGCCATTGCCATTACTCCAATACATACATATTTACAAAAGGTCGCGGGGCCACTGCCGTTTTAACCTCCGAAGAGGATCGTAGGGATGGCTGGAGCTAGATAGGGATTGTGCTACAGGATTTGGATGATGAGAGAGTTTAAATCAATAACAAATGGGATATGAAAGTCATTCATTATAGACGGTTTTATTTGTTACATAGAAGGGAGCATCGACAATTGTTCGGAGGACTTCACACTGAAAGGATTGAATGCGCTTAATGTTAGAAGGTTTTGTTGACCCCTCCGTTCTAGTCCGTAGGTCCAGATAGGTTTCATGATTGTCTTGTAGATTAGTAGTTTGTTGTTGACTGAAAAATGAGATTTTCTATTCATTAGTCTATATAGCTGTCCGTATCGTCTGTTTAGTTGTCGTCTTTTAAGTCTGGTATGTGGGTTCCACGTTAGTCTTTTAATTCAGTATTTCTAAAGCCAATCTAATACTTGAAACGGATTGCTGCCAGGGCTTGAAAAGGAAAAAAAAAATGTACAGTTAAAAAGTTTCGGTAACACTGGAATCTTTACTGCCAAATTTAAATTTAACTTTAACATTCACCATAAACCTGGAACTTTATTACAAAAAAATTCCCAAGGACTTTTATTTTAAAAACTTTTTTTTCCTAAAATGTATCACAGAAACTGTTAAAATGGAACCTTAAAAAAAAGTTCTATATAACCTTCAATCCCCGATTTCTACAATATTTGAAAATATTATAAATTACTTTTACAATTGGCGAATTTCACTTAGACCCTTTCGCAACTAACTAATATATTCAAAATGGTGACAAACAAGCAATAGCTTATCGGATTCCTTCAATATTGAGGTGGTTTATTGGGTTATCAAAGGACCTTTTTATGAAAACAATAAATTTTTAAATAACGCCATCAGGTATAGATTTATTGTGAGTTTTAGGATGCATTCGGCAATCTATTAATATATCACGGGAAGCACTTTTTATAAAAATATTCACAATCTGAAGATTACACCTTCAAGGATATTCTTTTATATTGACAGTATTTTTAAAACTACACTTCCAGTAATATCATGATGAACCTCAGTGTCTAAAAACTCCAATATATTAAAAAAATATATACGAAATATAGTTGTGCTATCTCAAAATTGGTATGATTTTATAATAAAAAAGGAGAAATGAAATTATAAAGTATTCAATACATTTATTAGTTTTAAATAAATATTTTCTATACAATAATGAGCATGGTAACGCTAATAAGTTTATTTTTCTAAGAATCTACATTAATAAAAATGTAAATGTTAGTTTGTTCAAAACAGCTAATCTCCGAAACTTCTTCACCGATCGCTTTGAAATATTGACATAATGTTTCTATCGCATTGAGGAGTGTTTTTGATCACCCTCTGATCTTTCATTTCGGAATGCCGTCCCAAAAACCTACGTAGCTATAGACTGTAGCGTCTAAACGACTATAACTATTTTAATTAAACTTGGCCAAAGTCTTCTTTTTAAAGGCCTTTCGATTTATGTATGTAACATCCTTCCCCGAAAAGATTATGAAAAAAAAGTTACGAGTCGTTCAAAACTATATTTGCGAATAACTCATAAAGTACACAATTTTGTTTATTTTTACAAATTATGGGAGTGGAGTAGCTCAGTGGTAGGGCACTGAGCTTCCAATGCAAAGGTCCCAGGTTTGAATCCCGGCTCATGGCAGAAAATTTATTTATCTCTTTCATTGGCCGTGGGGCGACCCTGGGTCGGGAGTCCCTCCTGGGGCACACCCAGCCTCTATAAAGTGGATACCTTTAATTAAATAATTAATTAAGGAGGAAAACCTGGCGGTTGAGCGTGGTCTCGGTCAAATCGCCTCCTTGCACAACCGTTGACCTAGAAACAGTGCATTCCCTAAATAGTACTGAACCCCAGACCCTTCATGGGTTGTAGTGGTACAGGTTTTTTTACAAATTATATCCGTGAAATTGAAATTACAAATTGAAAGCTTCTTTGATTCCCTGCAATTCAAAATATCTAAGATCTAAATATCTACCTAAGCAAAAAAAAAAATCATTAAAATCGGACTATTTGGTGCAGAGATATAATGCTTTAAACATTCAATCATTTTTCATGAGAGATTTAGTGACCGATTGCTTCTTATATAGATAATTATGTTGCTAGTTCTATAGTTGCAAAACCAGACAATCTCTATATCTATACAAAGAATATCGTATATTAACAAGTATTGTTACATAAAATATATTAGAAACATCTAATTTCTTTTCTACTTCTTTTTTTATTTAACCAGTATGAGCCACAGCAACGCGTGTACATCTAGTAATCAATAAAAATAATACATTTTTATTAATTTGTCACTTGAATAAAATTTGTCCAAACGTGATTTGTATAATCAAGCACAGGTACTATTTGTTTAGAGAGTATTACCCAAATTCAATACCAAGACGATACTTAACCAGTCCTGGTCTTTGTCTTGCGTCAACACTCCAAGTTAATGTTGGAGCAGTCTGTCTCTTGCAGCAAGCTTAATAAGTAATTGCAAGACTTGCGACTTGCAATTGCCTATTAGCTTATCATCATATCTCTTAACGAGGAAGTAAACTGACAATCAGCTGACTTGCCCATAAATACAATAAGGAGGCTGAAAAAGCATTGTATATGAGATTTCTCTGAATAAGGAACATTTCACTGCAATTTCTCGGTTTTTTTAATGATACAGAAACATTTTTATAAAGCCTGGCTTCTATATTTCACTCTTTGTTAATGTGAGAACTACAAACGAAGGATCCTTCTTTTCCGCACCAGTAGAGCTGGTTTGGTTAAAGTTTGCGTTCATTTTGGGATGTCGTATTTCCTGTTCAAGTCCCATGAATCCATTTGGAATCGCTATATTTCTTCTGTTTAACGACTTCTTTCGCGCCGTTTCTTGTTGTAAAGGTTTAGACAGTCCTTAAACAACTAACAATTGATAACAGTACAAACCATTAAGAAAATCGAAGCGCTAACTCCGTAATTCCATCACAAATTGCTACAACCATCAACCTAAACTTAGGTTCTTATATTCATTTCGATAGTTTGAGATCTTTCCTTCTACAACTGCCACGTTCAGGAATTGTGTTGGGCACTATTAGAATGCAAATTTATTCAATCTATCTTTAAAAAAAAAAAAAATTATAAAATCATATCGTCGGTCTCTAGAGAAAAGTCATTAAGTTAGATTTTATTTTTTTGGGAGTGGCTGAGCGGGGTAACACGTAGCACAACACCGCGTTGCCCGGCAACCTGATAAACCGAAGTTTTATATGAGTAAATAATTAAGAGTTCGCATCCCGGTGAGCTGGGAGGAGGGTCTTTTTTTTTTTAGCTCTAGCATTAATCCTACTAAGGACTCAACATGGACAAACGTCTAACTTGGAATCCTCATACCAGACTGAAACGACAAGAAACCGCTCGAAGTTTCCGATTACTTCAGCACTTACTTGACAAAAGATCTAAACTTCCAATTAATTTCAAAAGACTCATATACATGATTATAATAAGGCCTATTTGGACTTACGAAGTTGGCTATGGGGCTCCATTAAACCATCGAATTCCTCTCGTATCCAATCCTTACAATCCAAAATCCTTCGTAAAATCCTTAATGCTCCCTACTTTGTTATCTTAATGTTTCAGATCTGGCCCAATCCAGATACCTATCCTTCCATAATAAACTTCAGAATCATCCCAATCCTCTCGTTTCTAACCTTGTTTCCTCTTCAATTCCTGAAAACCCCCGAGGCGTCTGAAAATATGGCCCGGTGATCTCCTAATGTAGACATATCATTAGAGTGCTGCCATTGGGTAGTTTCTCAACAAGTGCTTTCACGTAATTATATTCATATGTTCCAATTTACTAAATGTATTTCTTTAATACAGTTGTAAAAATCATTAATAAATTTAAAAAAAAAAGAATTAATCCTCCGCTCTCACCCCCTAACTCCCTAACCATAAAAACCGCGTATAGTATAAAAGGCGAAAGAGGGAGGACCAAAAAAAAAGTTAGATTTTATTAAATGAAATCTTTGAAATCAGAACATAGTGTACTTAGACATAGTGTGATACTACTTTTGACATCTAACAGGCATCGTGTTACTTTGATCCAATTAATGAGTTTTTTCATTGATTAATATGAACATGAATAACCAAAAAAGTATACTTAATAGTTTTAAACAGACACACTGTGATTAGTTTCCGATAATGTGGTATCTTTCCAAACTGCAATTATAAAGGCCTATTCAGCTCGTCGATTATACC